GAGAAGAATTCTCTGGGGGTGATGGTAACGCTAGACTTTTATTCGCCACTGTGTACCTATGCAATAAGGTATGGTGTGAGCAGCCACACACTCGACCCTTCTTAGCTTTGCATCGTACTACAGAGTGGCCTGGCTGCAGACAATTGATGCACAAGGATGCAGTTTTTGCGAATTCGAACCTTTGCATTACTGCCAGCCGACCAAATGGACTGCAATCTGTCAACAAATGGCCTTTCGCATTGCAGTAGCTGCATTGTTGGTTTTTGGTATTCGCGGTGGAACACGCGAATGAGCTCCGATTATGCGGCTTGCTTGGCACAGCTTTCTGCTCCTGCTTTGGTTTGTCCGAATTTTCGGCCGAAAGATGCTGATGTCTGCGATTAAGCAACTTTTCACAGTCCGTCCAAAGTGGAAGTTTGTCATAATCGAGCTGTTCTTCCCATTTCTCTTTGGTCACCGGATCGACTCTGCTCAAGACGAGATGAATAATCATCGCATTCGAGATCTTTTTATCATCGACAACAACGAACCATATATGGATGAGGCAGTATCGATAAGGTTCCTTAAGGACGATGCTGATTGCTGGGTCATTTTGGGAAGACTAAATAGGGACAATAATTATCGTAGACCCGTTTTAAGCTAGCCATTGCTTTCTCGTAGTTTGTCTCGGTTACTTGGAATGCCCTAACTGTTCCCAACGCTTCACCGGAGAGACACGAAAGCAAATGGTTGAACTTTTCGATAATTGGAATGCTTTGGTCATTGTGAACTAGAGTCTCAAATAAACCTATGAAGTCTTTAAAGTCCGAAAAGTTGCAGCTGAACTGCGGCAGAGCTAACTTCGGAAGGCGAGCACGAGTTGGGCCACCATAAGCTGGTACTGCCGGTATTGTCTCATCAGCTGTCTTTAATGCGCAAATGAGAGACATTAATTTTGCCTTTGTGACAATTGAGAGTTCTTCCAACTCGACTCCAAATTCATCGTCAATGTCTATATCTTCAATCTTCTCTTGAAGTTCGCGTGCCGTGTCAATGTTACGCATCAGCGTTTCGAGTGCTCGAGTGCAGTCGAGCACCGTCAATACCAGTGGAATATCCCCCGCTTCTAAACGGTCCGTTAATAAACGAATGCCTTTGACACGGCAACTGCGCTTTTTCTTCTGCTCTTCAAGGGCGATATTGTTGGCTTTTGAGGTCATATTGATTCTCAATACAAGCAACTGAAGGCGAAAGATCGTTTTTAATAATCGTATTTAATGCCGAGGCACTCAATGAAATAATGGGTAATTGTACCCAAACTAGGTGAAAAACCAATATACCCGAAAAATTTAGGGTAGAGTGTCGCTTGGCTGGCGCGTACACGAAAACCACACAAGAATAGCAACGAACAGCAATGGTGACAAGCGAAAACGAAAAATGTCACCGCTGTAGTTCTGAAGAATGGATGTTGTGTATACGTATGCACCGACAACGATCGACGCTAAATTGATTTGCGAGGCACGACTTTGTCTTAATTGATAGTTGGATCCTACTGACACCAAACGAATATACCCGACGAAAACAGGGTAGCGCGTCACTTGGTGTTTGGTTTGGATCAAGCGCGCCAAACAAAAGAACAACGATAAGCAACGGTGAAGAGCGAAAGCGAGACGAAAAAATTCACCGCTGCAGCTGCGTATTGGTATGCGTGCTTGGCCAACGACCCAACTATACATATATTTGACACTACGAAAACGAGAAAGGGGAAAGGGGTGACAGCGATTGCAGTTAAAATGAGTTATATGTGTAGTTATTGCGCCCAAGAGGGTTAGATGTACATATGTATATATGTATTAATATATATGCTCAACTCTAACTACAGCATGCAATCGAGCTCTACTATGTCATACGTATGTGCCAAGAATTGAAAGCGAGGTGCAATTGTTTCAGCACAAGACAATAATTGCGAGTTTTTTTTTTTTATCTTTTCGTCTTCACTCGAGCTTTCAATTTTTTGCACAAACACCTCTTGATAAGATTGGAAATTCCAGATGCTGTACTCTCCTCTTCTTATGCTGGATGCTCCACTTGGATCTCCTTTGGTAGATGGTATATGTATATATCTCCTTTGGTATATAGCTGCAGACAGGGTATTGCACGACCGACGCGGTGATTTTTAGTTTTGTTTGTTGAATTCTTTGCACACACGTCGCGGTCAATTTGGCAATTTAGCTGCAGCACATATGCATGTACATGTAGGTATAATAGATTTTGGCTATTGATCTATTCTCCACTGTTTCACTGTCACTTTTGCACTCCACTTGAATTAGTACGTTTAAATTGCAAGTCCACCCGGGGGCGCCATGAAATTTTAGAATAGTTTTTCTAAATAAAAGATACCGAAAAACTTGGGTGACTGCAAATTTGTATTTTTCTTTTCTTCCTATATTCAAACAATTTCTTCTGCGCCTATCTTACCTACGGTGGCGAAGCGGGGCGAATTCGCCAAGAGCGAGAGAGCGAGCTTTTATTGCGCTCCCGCTTTGCCCTAGCCTAACTTACACTAGACTTCATAAAATACGATCCTAATAACAATTATTATTAGCCAAATGGCGCTACAACCGTGCCGAGCAAATCTTCACAGTCGCAGCGATACTACCTGGTAGGCAAATTCGAGTTAAATCATTTTGTAAATCATTCCGTTCTCTCCGTTACTCACTCTGATCCTGGCACAGAAAGTAGTCGTTGAGCGTGCATAGACCCACGATAGTACCCTTCAAGCCAAGAAGTACATTGCAATCCATAGTATGTGTGACAGAATTTGATTATGATACGGTCTTAACTTACACTGTGAAAATGGTCATTCCATCCCAAGGTTTCGATTCACTTGTCTGACAGCTGGCCTCGCTGAATTTTATATTTGTGCTGCTTGAGTTCAACAAATTCTGCATTAACTGCTCCAGAAACGTATCCATATGTGCCGCAGAGCAGGAAGCCGGAAAGCAAGATGCGATCTTGATCGAAATGGATACGGCGGGTACATTTAGAAAACAGTACTTTCCATGTATGCTGTCACTACTGGTGATCTCCTCGCTGATCTTGACACACTCATCAAAGTTACCCAGATGGTAGGCATTGCCGGACAGCACTCCTGAGGGAATGGAGCCCCAAGCATCGATCACTGCTCACAAAATTCGTCAACTTCAGTTCTCATTCACTTGAATATAATTTTCATTATTTACTTACTCTTAAGGGCCCATAATTTTCCAGCAGTGAGCGCCTGCATGAACTGCGCCATGTCCGCGAAACACAACAGATCCTCCTGACTGGGTATTCGGGTGTGGAATAGATCTAAGTCCGGGAGCGATGCATTACAGAAGTGTTCAGCAAACTCGACTCCCAGCGGGCAGAGCCTTTTTAAACGCTGGTAATCTTGCATGACATCTCCGTCTTTCAGTTGTGCGGCTCTGACAAGTACCAGTCCGCAGACAAGTAGACTGCTTAAAACGTTCACCATGCTAATACTTTTTCGATTGAAGGCATTGCACCTTTTGACTGTGATTTGATAGGAATGTGACTGTGATTTTAAAGGAATGTTTTGAGGGAAATCTGGCGATAACATTATCAGTGTGTCAGCTCTCGAGTCAAGTATATCAGCCAAAATGCTTAATTCAGTCGAACATCACCGATAAGGAGCACAAGCTCATTTATTTATAATCTTTTCCCAGGTAATCGTTTTACTTATTGACTTTTGATGGATTCAATTTGGTTTTAATATGAGTGAGTAAGAAAAAAACGGAGAAAACAAAAGTTTAGCTAAACATGGATGTAGACAATTTGTTCTATAATTCTGATCATTGCGTGAAAAGATGATAGCCGGGGTGCAATTATAACCATTAGTGGTGGCAGATCCTTTCTTTGTTTCAATGTTTTTTCCAATTCTCATGACAAGTAGCAGCAAAATGGCGAGAGTTCGTGAAGAGATTCCGCCTCCTCGCAACAACCAAATTTAAAACGAGGGGGAACGCTGTGAGTTGCTGCGGACACCGCAATTCTACATTTATACCCGATACTTAGTCAGTATGGCTCTCCTCCGGCAGAGGCCGCTAATATTAAACGACACGACAAAGAGTGCGTGCGAGAGAGACAGAAAATCAGTCTGAGCGTGACGTCGGGCGCTGCGAAGCCACCGCAAATTGATTTCTTGCTTCTGGCTACAAAAATGATCCGATCTGATCCAGATTCAGCAATCTGATAGATATGGTCGTTATCTATGATTCTGCGTTTTTAGTTTTCTCGAATGTGCAATATTGTGAATGCAACAGATTTTCGTCCTTTGTGGGGGCGGAAGGGGGTGGGGCGAAATTCTGAGATATACGCTTTATAGTGAGATCTAACGGAAGTGCGGATACCAAATTTAGTTACTCTAGCGATAATAGTCTCTGAGATTTGTGGATTTGCGGAAGGGGGTGTGCCGAAATTTGGACACGAAACCGTCAAGGTCCGATATCACAGGAGTGTGGATACTCATATCTTCAACTCAAATTTTGCAATTGGCAAAACCGACCATGAAACCTGTGTGTTAGAGAGAGACAGAGCGAGAAAGAATGAAATTGTTTTATTGATTCTGGCTATAATAATTATACGATCTGGTTAAGATCTTACATTCTAGAACATACTTATAAACATCCTCTACGATTCTGCGTTTTTGGTTTTATCGTATCTTTAAAAATGTGGATGCCCCAGATTTTCGTTCTTTGTGGGGCGGAAGTGGGCGGTGCGAAGTTTTAAAATATTTCTGTGGCGTTGTGGGGTGGTGTGCTGAGACCTGAAAAGAAGGGAGAATCTGTTTGGAACACAACATCGAAGTGGGCCCTGAACTATCACTTGGAGACGTTCAGAACTGGCTCTGGGAATCATTCAGTACAAATATCGAAAGTACAGGGAACATAAAGTAAATAAAAATACAAATTCAAAACAAAGCCCATGAACGAATATGTCCTCACAGGTGCTGAAATAAGATGAATCCAACTATTAACAATCCACGTTCCCCATTCACCCGTTCGCGGGGTATTTTCGGATCCATGGGATCCTTCGACTTTACCGAGCAGCAGCAGCAGCAGCCGGAGCTGCAGGTCCCCCCCGAAGGTTCCGGCGACAAGAATGGACTCAATGCGATGCCCTTCCTAGGCCAAATCCACACCAGTCCTCTGCTGTCCCGCCCAATGGGTCCAATAGTTCGCTCACACCCCCCCCACCATCCCTCCGACAGGGGATTCAGATGGGTGAGCGGCAGCAGCCCAGACTCCCCTTCGCCCCAGGACATAACTTACCCCGGCTCCCCTGCAGATTCAATGCTGTGCCACAGATGGCATCGATGATACCACCGCCCGTGTTGAGCTCCCTCTGGACAGGCGGCGCTTCTCCGGACAGCCGCGGAGACTACTACGACGGCCCGCACGAAGAGTACTCCGACGGCCGCTACGATGGCGACTACGAGGGCGACTACTCGATGCCTACCGAGGAGGATCAAGAGGAGGTGTCGTGCTCCTGTCAGAGCCAGACCTGTCAGAGCCAGAGCGAGTTCAGGAGTGGGAGGAGCTCTCCGACGGCCCTTCCCCCAGGGTCTCCCCGCTGGAGTCCCTCGGCGCAGTCGTGCTCTCCACAATGCAGCCGGAGCACCGTCAGCGCATGGTGGCCTTGTACCACCTCGTCTTGGAGTCCGCTGTGGTCAAGGTCGTGCTGCTGGTGCTACAGATGCTGTGCTGCGCGGTGTTCTGGCTGGTCGAGAAGACCGTGGGCATCAACGAAACAGTCGGCTCGACGGGCCTCCGATTGTGGAACAGCAAGTTCAAGCTGCGCACCATCCAGCGCCAGTTGCTGTGGCGCATGGCTAATGCCCGGGGCGTGCTCATGACCACGCCCTGGCTGTTCTTCATCAGCCTCCTGGGATTCATCCTGTCCCTGGCGGCGCTCCTGAAGAAGACCGTCAAGGAGCTGGTGTTCCAGATACGTCTGCACCTCGTGCTCTAGGGGGCAGCCATCGAGCAGAAAGCAGCAAGCAGTATTCAATCACACACTGACAGAAGACGTCCACACGCCCGACACTCCACCCCTCCCCTCAGAGATGTTTGCACTTCCATTTGGGCATATATTTTCGTTGATGCCAGAATCGCAATGCACGGAATCGTCTCTCCGTTTTTGGCCGCAATGAAAATATATGCCGAAATATTCGAAATTCAAAGTCAAATTCAAGCACAAGAGTTTCCAGTCGATCAGATATATAGTTTATGCATATTACAATCCGTTCCGTTTGGACGGGAGGCCACTTGCTCATCCCTCATCCCCGTGATTGCATTTATTATTATTATTTTTATTTCGCTGCATATTTGTTCTGCAATTTATTCAATGATAAACGGAGGAGGAGAGCATGTAGCAGCAGCAAAACATTTCCGCTGCAGCAGCGATTGTGGCAGCCGTGGGGCCTTTGTTGCCCGCAATTGCAGGCCCCCGCATACGCACTTCGGAGGCACGGAATCCACCAGAAGCGGCAACAAATGAGTCATTAAATTTTCACTGTACTCGTGTTGATTCAGTGATCAGTGATCAAAACAACATAACAAAAGCGTCATCATCCTGATCCAGAATCCGTAGAAGCATCCATTTTCTGGGCTCTCTTGGGCGCTGGTTGGGGTACGCCTCCGATTTCAAGCCCTTGCCACACGGGCAACCCGAGCAAGCCCCGATATGTAAACAGGGTCAAGACTACCTGTGCGAAGGGGGCCAGGGGAGGCGCCGGCTCTTGGGATCCGATTACCGAACCGATTGCATAAGACTCGGCCCGGAAGTGGACATACTCGTGTGCAGCCCTTTCGACCGGCTATGGCTACGGACGGACAGACGGACAGACAGACAGGGCTCAATCGACTCGGCTATTGATGCTGATCAAGAATATATATACATTATGGCGTCGGAAACGATTCCTTCTGGAAGTTACACACATCCACTTTTACCACAAATCTAATATACCCCAATACTCATTATGAGTATCGGGTATAAAAATTGCAAACAGAGATGCAAAAAAAAACAAAACAGGGAGAAAATCCCTACTGCAGTCATCGACTGCTATACAAACTCTGGCGCTTACATATAATTACGTATAAAATATGTTCTATGTACATAAATAATCAACCAATTTCTTTTCGGTTTTATTTGCCGATCGTTTTCTGACATGATAATTATAGTACAAGAACGAAGAATACAATAAGTATAGACAATGGAAGAGATTACTTGGAAGAGTACAATTTTTATACCCGATACTCAAAATGAGTATTGGGGTATATTAGATTTGTGGTAAAAGTGGATGTGTGTAACGTCCAGAAGGAATCATTTCCGACCCCATAAAGTATATATATTCTTGATCAGCATCAATAGCCGAGTCGATTGAGCCATGTCTGTCTGTCCGTCTGTCCGTCCGTCCGTCTGTCCGTCTGTCCGTCCCCTTCAGCGCCTAGTGCTGAAAGACTATAAGAGCTAGAGGAACGATGTTTTGGATCCAGACTTCTGTGATATGTCACTGCTACAAGAATATTTCAAAACTGTGCCCCGCCCACTTCCGCCCCCACAAAGGGCGATAATCTGTGGCATCCACAATTTCGACGATACGAGAAAACTAAAAACTCAGAACCGTAGAAGATGACTATATCTTACAGAGTGCAAAATCTGAACCAGATCGTATAATTATTATAGCCTGAATCACGAAAATAATTTCACTCTATCTCGCTCTGTCTCACTCTAACACACAGGTTTCATAGTCGGTTTTGCCAATTGCAAAATATGAGTTCAAGGATCTCAGAACCCATAAGAGCTAGAGAAACCAAATTTGGTATCTACACTCCTGTGATATCGGACCTTGACCGTTTCGTGTCAAAATTTCGCCACAGCCCCTTCCCCCCCCGCAAAGGACGAAAATCTGGGGCAACCACAAATCTCAGAGACTATTAAGGCTATTTGGACATTGCTATTTGCTGCGGACACCGCAACTCTACGGTTATACCCGATACTAAGTCTGTATGGCTCTCCTCCGGCAGCGCCGCTAATATTAAACGACACGACAAAGAGTGCGTGCGAGAGAGACAGAAAATCAGTCTGTGCGTGACGTCGGGCGCTGCGTAGCCACTGCAAATTGATTTGTTCCTTTTGGCTATAAAAATGATCTGATCTGATCCAGATTCAGCAATCTCATAGATATGGTCGTTATCTATGATTCTGCGTTTTTAGTTTTCTCGAATATGCCGTATTGTGGATGAAACAGATTATCTTCCTTTGTGGGGGCGGAAGGGGGTGGGGCGAAATTCTGAGATATACGTTTTATAGTGAGATCTAACAGAAGTGCGGATACCAAATTTAGTTACTCTAGCCTTAATAGTCTCTGAGATTTGTGGTTGCCCCAGATTTTCTTCCTTTGCGGGGGCGGAAGGGGGTGTGGCGAAATTTGGACACGAAACGGTCAAGGTCCGATATCACAGGAGTGTGGATACCAAATTTGGTTGCTCTGGCTCTTATAGGTTCTGAGATCCTTGAACTCATATTTTGCAATCGGCAAAACCGACCATGAAACCTGTGTGTTAGAGTGAGACAGAGCGAGAAAGAGTGAAATTGTTTTCTTGATGCTGGCTATAATAATAATACGATCCAATTCAGATTCTGCATTCTAAAAGATATGGACATTTTCTACGAATCTGCGTTTTTGGTTTTCTCGTATCTTTAAAATTGTGGATGCCACAGAATTTCGCCCTTTGTGGGGGCGGAAGTGGGCGGGGCACAGTTTTGAAATATTCTTGTAGCAGTGACATATCACAGAAGTCTGGATCCAAAACATCGTTGCTCTAGCTCTTATAGTCTTTGAGCATTAGGCGCTGAAGGGGACGGACAGACGGACAGACGGACGGACGGACAGACAGACAGGGCTCAATCGACTCGGCTATTGATGCTGATCAAGAATATATATACTTTATAGGGTCGGAAACGATTCCTTCTGGACGTTACACACATCCACTTTTACCACAAATCTAATATACCCCAATACTCATTTTGAGTATCGGGTATAAAAATATGTATTGGTCCGTAGAAGTCTGCTGTTTACTTCCAGAGTGAACATATGCCAGATGTACACGGAATAGGAGAGTCTCGAGAGAGGCTGCCACAATGGCGAGGATAGGAAACTGTCTGCCAGACCGCCATGGCCCTACATTTTATTTATTTATTTATTAATTCTTGGACGTTGACATGCAATGACTGCATCTTTCAAGAGGCGATGCAGTTACTGCACGCGCGGATCCCAGGCAAAACGCAGCCCTCCTCCCGCCCAACCGACCGAGGGGAGCTGCCGCATGACGCGCGGTGCGTAGCCGAACCAAACGCGAACATGCAAGAAAGATAGATATTAGACTAACTTTCGAGGAAAATTAGCGCTAACTTACCAAGAAACTAAGCATGCAATCAAAATACAAATACCACTACAGATTATAATTAATAGAAAGGTGTGTAAGGATTAATAATTTAATAAGAGGAAGAGAATTAGTGTTGGATATAATATGGTAGAGGGAATTATAATCCGAGCATAAGACCCTAAACGGTTCATGCAAGGAATAATTTGATCTACAAAGTGGAAGGAACAACGGTATAAAATTTCTAGTCAGTCTAATAAGAATCGTGAAGTTTATGCGGCTCAACAGATCAAGGCTGTCTATGTCACCCCTGATCAAGTTGTGCATAAATATCACACCAAGCTTATTTCTACGGTTAACTAAGGATGAGAGGTTTACTAATAGTAGTCTACTAGAGTAAGATGGGAGTCTTACACCCGCATCCCAGTTAAGGCCCCGCAGAGCAAAGAGTAAAAAGTTTTTCTGTACTGATTCTATACGGTCCTGGTGTACTTTGTACTGAGGGCACCATACACAGGAGCCGTATTCTAAGATCGGACGAACAAGCAAGGTATAGAGAGTCTTTGTTATATAGGGGTCGTCAAATGCCTTTGACCACCTCTTTATAAACCCAAGCACGCCCATGGCCTTATTTACCATGGTAGAAATGTGTTCGGAAAACTTTAACTTGGGGTCTAACATAACACCCAGATCATCCACCAGGGTAATTCTCTCAAGAGAACCACCAAATAGGGTGTAGGGAGCCAACAAAGGGCTAGAACGATGAAATGTCATAACTTTGCATTTCGAGGCATTAGGGTGTAACAAGTTTGCACAACACCATGACTGAAAGCTATTGAGATCGGATTGCAAGCGAGAATGAAATGAAATGTCCTTGTACTGGACACAGAGTTTAACATCATCCGCATACATAAGTACTCGAGAGTATGTTAATACTGAAGGCAAGTCAGTTAATAAAGAGTGTGAAGAGTAAGGGGCCTAGATGGCTGCCCTGTGGTACTCCCGGAGTTTTTGAAGAGGACTCTTTGAGACCTAGAACAAAGATAGCTAGAAATCCATCTCAGGAGGTTGGGCGGAAACCCTAAAAGGTCAAGTTTATGTGCTAAAAGGGAATGGTTTACAGAGTCGAATGCTTTACTAAAGTCGGTGTAAATAACATCCGTCTGTAAGTTACCTTGAAAGCCTTTAATAATGAAAGAGGTAAACTCTAACAAGTTGGTGGTGGTTGCTCGCCGCCTTATAAATCCATGCTGAGTTGGAGATATAAGTGACTTGCAGAGATGTTGCAAGTGCGGAGTTAAAGCCTTCTCAAACAATTTGGGAATAGCGGATAACTTTGCTATACCTCTATAATTTTTTGCATCAGACTTACCTTTTTTATGGAGAGGAATTATAAACGATTCCTTCCAGATTGGGGGGAAGCAAGAGGAATCAATGGACAGGGTGAATAGTTTAAGCAATGGTCCACACAGAGCCTCGGCGCAGTACCTGAGTACACAACCTGGAACCCCGTCTGGACCCGGTGAAAACACCGGCTTAACTAGTCGAAGATCATGAAGTAGGGAATATTCATTTATCAAGGGA